CATTGTTGTCATGAACTGTGAAATATAGGGTAATATAGTACACCATAGAAGTCATGGCTACATTGTTGTCATGAACTGTGAGATATAGGGTAATATAGTACACCATAGATGTCATGGCTACATTGTTGTCATGAACTGTGAAATATAGGGTAATATAGTACACCATAGAAGTCATGGCTACATTGTTGTCATGAAGTGTGAAATATAGGGTAGTATAGTACACCATAGACATCATGGCTATATTGTTATCATGAAGTGTGAAATATAGGGTAATATAGTACACCATAGATGTCATGGCTGCATTGTTATTATGAAGTGTGAGATATAGGGTAATATAGTACACCATAGAAGTCATGGCCACATTGTTATCATGAACTGTGAAATATTGGGTAATATAGTACACCATAGAAGTCATGGCTGCATTGTTGTCATGAACTGTGAGATATAGGGTAATATAGTACACCATAGACGTCATGGCTACATTGTTGTCATGAAGTGTGAAATATTGGGTAATATAGTACACTATAGAAGTCATGGCTACATTGTTATCATGAAGTGTGAAATATTGGGTAATATAGTACACCATAGACGTCATGGCTATATTGTTATCATGAAGTGTGAAATATAGGGTAATATAGTAAACCATAGAAGTCATGGCTGCATTGTTATCATGAAGTGTGAAAAATATGGTAATATAGTACACCATAGAAGTCATGGCTGCATTGTTGTCATGAACTGTGAGATATAGGGTAATATAGTACACCATAGACGTCATGGCTACATTGTTGTCATGAAGTGTGAAATATTGGGTAATATAGTACACTATAGAAGTCATGGCTACATTGTTCTCATGAATTGTGAGATATAGGGTAATATAGTACACCACAGACGTCATGGCTATATTGTTATCATGAAGTGTGAAATATAGGGTAATATAGTACACCATAGAAGTCATGGCTGCATTGTTATCATGAACTGTGAGATATAGGGTAATATAGAACACCATAGAAGTCATGGCCATATTGTTATCATGAAGTGTGAAAAATAGGGTAATATAGTACACAATAGAAGTCATGGCTGCATTGTTATCATGAACTGTGAGATATAGGGTAATATAGAACACCATACTAGTCATGGCTACATTGTTATCATGAAGTGTGAAATATAGGGTAATATAGTACACCATAGAAGTCATGGCTACATTGTTATCATGAAGTGTGAAATATAGGGTAATATAGTACACCATAGAAGTCATGGCTACATTGTTGTCATGAAGTGTGAAATATAGGGTAATATAGTACACCATACTAGTCATGGCTACATTGTTGTCATGAAGTGTGAAATATTGGGTAATATAGTACACCATAGATGTCATGGCTACATTGTTGTCATGAACTGTGAGATATAGGGTAATATAGTACACCATAGAAGTCATGGCTACACTGTTGTCATGAACTGTGAAATATAGGGTAATATAGTACACCATAGATGTCATGGCTACATTGTTGTCATGAACTGTGAAATATAGGGTAATACAGTACACCATAGAAGTCATGGCTACATTGTTGTCATGAAGTGTGAAATATAGGGTAATATAGTACACCATAGATGTCATGGCTACATTGTTGTCATGAACTGTGAGATATAGGGTAATATAGTACACCATAGAAGTCATGGCTACACTGTTGTCATGAACTGTGAGATATAGGGTAATATAGTACACCATAGATGTCATGGCTACATTGTTGTCATGAACTGTGAGATATAGGGTAATATAGTACACCATAGACGTCATGGCACATTGTTATCATGAACTGTGAAATATTGGGTAATATAGTACACCATAGAAGTCATGGCTGCATTGTTGTCATGAACTGTGAGATATAGGGTAATATAGTACACCATAGAAGTCATGGCTACATTGTTGTCATGAACTGTGAGATATAGGGTAATATAGTACACCATAGACGTCATGGCCACATTGTTATCATGAACTGTGAAATATTGGGTAATATAGTACACCATAGAAGTCATGGCTGCATTGTTGTCATGAACTGTGAGATATAGGGTAATATAGTACACCATAGAAGTCATGGCTACATTAATACCATCAACTGTACAATATTGGGTAATATAGTACACCATAGAAGTCATGGCTACACTGTTATCATGAACTGTGAAATATTGGGTAATGTAGCATGCCATAGAAGCCATAGTTACGTATTATGATGAATTGTAAACTATCGGATAACATAACACATCTTACCGCTCATTGACTCATGTTATTTTAAACTGTGAGATATAGGGTAATATAGTACACGATACCAGGCTCCGTATGGTGCCTTGTGAAATAGTGAACAAAATATCCTGTCAGTCGACAAGCATGGGTTGCTGAAGACCAGTTCTAACTCGGATCTTCACGGTGGTGACACTGTACCTATTACAACCAAAGCAACTGTTACACTTAATTTTGCACTGTGAATACGGCGTAATGTTACAATACACAATATTACACGGGGCTACGCGTTTTAATGCGCTGAGAATGGTGGAATATGGTACGCAATACCACACACGGTGACTTGATAATACATCGTGCAGTGTTGGGCACAGTTATCTGACACACCATAACACTGAAGGTTACCATTTATTGTGTGGTAAATGTACTCACCAGTTTTACACAGCAAGCTAATCAGCTGCTTCCATAACTGAAATTTCATAACGAAATAGGATTCTAGGTTTGGTTCTTTTCCTGACTTGAATAATGACAGATATCACTCAAATTATCAAATGTTATAGCCGAAGCAAACACTTAGACTGCGAATCTAACAAATACAGAAAAAAAATATTTTATTCAATAATGTCCACCTGTGAGTTTACCGACCTGCAGCACTAGGCCCTGAAGAGGATTAAATCTTTAATTCTACCTTTAGCCCGTACTTGTACACAGCCTGTAAGTTAAAGTCGTACTTGAAAACAACCTAAGTACACCTCCAACACTAACTTTAAGTCGTACTTTATTACACCCAAAGTACAGCTCAAATATTACCATTAATTTGTACTTTTACTCAACCTAAGTGCCGCTCAAACACTAATTTAAAGGTGTACTGTCACAAAATATACATGTAAGTGAATCTTAGGTGAAGAGTGAAGGAAAGGTGTACTTTTACATAACATAGGTGCAGCCCAAACACTAATTTAAAGTTGTACTTTATACAACCTAAGTATACCTGGAACATTAACTTTAAGTCATACTTAGTTGTAACATCTTAACAACAGCCCAAACTCCAACTTAAAGTAACTTCCATTAGGCTTAACAATGACAATAACAGATTAATCGACTTGCTACAAAATTCAACCGCTTAACTCAAGCACAATTTCTAACCAACAGCTTTCAACTAATTACAACTCGTACCCCTAGTGCTCGTACCTACCTGATCTCGAGTGGTGGAGAAAAAACATATCTCATGATTTAATCGGTAATCATTAATGTCATGGTGACAGACATGCATATCAAAACATACACACTATTGTGTCATGTCATGTCATGCCATGTCATACACACTTACAACTACTTAATACAAGAGTCCTAAGTAAGGGTCTTGTGTATGACAATATACACTAGCATTATACACCAGTCTTCTACCCGTGTAGCTGGTTTACAAGCCAGCACGCCTAACACATGGCCACCATCGTAACGACATATACTGCCCGCACAGAAGTGTATTATTAACCTGTTAATGATTGTTTGCTTGTCAGTGGCAGTGAATCGAACACGTTCGGCTGACTTAACCTTTCGCAGCGGTTTCAAAAGTCGCTAGGTGTGAGAGCATTTTCCCATGTCGTAAACAGCTAGATATGGAATCCCAGAAGGGATATTGTCGCTTTGTCGCATTGTTCTGTTGAAGGCCTTATAAAACAAGCATAACGTGTCAAAATGAACAACAACGCGACAATGTCGTACCGAGAATTCCATAGTTATCGTTTCCTCGACGAAGGGTACGAGCCTCAAGGGGGAAATATAAATCTATTATACATTGTTGATCGTGACTTGTTTTAACAAGCTGATCTGTAGCAGTTTCTTGTGCGTACAGACACATAGTGAAAACGCTCGTAATGATTTGTGATTTTTTTTTTTCTTTTTTAAGTTAAAAAAATATGACATAATTATTTCAGGATTTTCGGGTTGCCAGTGACTATAGTCAAACATAAACAATGACAGTGTATGTATATGACGTATTATATTATATTATATTATATTATTGTATTGTATTGTATTGTATTGTATTGTATTGTATTATGTTATATTATTTGTTATGTTCCTTTGGTGTGATGAGTTGTGTTAAGTTCTGCTTCACATTGCAGTGGGGGCGGTGTGGTAGCCTAGTGGTTAAAGCGTTCGCTCGTCACGCCGAAGACCCGGGTTCGATTCCCCACATGGGTACAATGTGTGAAGCCCATTTCTGGTGTCCCCCGCCGTGATATTGCTGGAATATTGCTAAAAGCGGCGTAAAACTAAACTCACTCAATCACTCACAATGCAGTGAGTTGTATTGAGTTGTATAGCTGTGAATAGTTGCATATTTCGAAGACGCTTCAAAACAGCACATTTCCAAAAAGCACCGTCATTAGCATTTGATGTTAGTCTGTAGGGGATCCGGAAGGCAGCAGTCTGTATATAATCGAGTCTGGACCAGACAATCCAGTGATCAACATCATGAGTATCGATCTACGCAACTGGGATACGATGGCATGTGTCAACCAAATCAGCGAGCCTGACCACCCGATCCCGTTAGTCGCCTTTTACGACAAGCATGGGTTACAGAAGACCAATTCTAACCTGGATCTTCACGAGTAGGATCCTGAGTGAGTGTACACCATACGTATCAATGCGTAGCAAGGGCATATCACTATTTAACAAGTACGTCTGTATGTCCTGTAAAGATAGTAGATAAATAGGACCACGAGCAGCAATTTCCTTGACCATAGTTGTTGACCAGCAGATTGGACAGGTGAGCGAGCAGATTGGACAGGTGAGCGATCAGATTGGACAGGTGAGCGATCAGATTGGACAGGTGAGCGAGCAGATTGGACAGGTGAGCGAGCAGATTGGACAGGTTAGCGATCAGATTGGACAGGTGAGCGAGCAGATTGGACAGGTTAGCGATCAGATTGGACAGGTGAGCGAGCAGATTGGACAGGTTAGCGATCAGATTGGACAGGTTAGCGAGCAGATTGGACAGGTTAGCGATCAGATTGGACAGGGGAGCGAGCAGATTGGACAGGTGAGCGATCAGATTGGACAGGTGAGCGATCAGATTGGACAGGTGAGCGATCAGATTGGACAGGTGAGCTATCAGATTGGACAGGTGAGCGAGCAGATTGGACAGGTGAGCGATCAGATTGGACAGGTGAGCGAGCAGATTGGACAGGTGAGCGAGCAGATTGGACAGGTTAGCGATCAGATTGGACAGGTGAGCGAGCAGATTGGACAGGTTAGCGATCAGATTGGACAGGGGAGCGAGCAGATTGGACAGGTGAGCGATCAGATTGGACAGGTGAGCGATCAGATTGGACAGGTGAGCTATCAGATTGGACAGGTGAGCGAGCAGATTGGACAGGTGAGCGATCAGATTGGACAGGTGAGCGATCAGATTGGACAGGTGAGCGATCAGATTGGACAGGTGAGCGATCAGATTGGACAGGTGGGCGAGCAAATTGAACACTGACCACACTGACCAACCAACAGTCACGTGATGTGTGAACTACAGATCAAAACAAAATGTAAACCTTAAAATTTGACTAAACATTATAAACGCTATCGAATCGCTACAAGGCTGAAAACAGCCACCGACACACTGCAAACTCATATCCAAACACACAACTATAATACCTGTATATGAAATACACTGCCAATTGACAAGATCTTGGTTGTTTCCCTTTGGGCTCTGTCAGGCATGGGGTATACTTTACAATCTGACAGACATGGATGACAAGAAACTCATTGTCAACAACACTTATTGTCAGATCCGTACCATTTGTTTGTTATTCGACATTAGTGTGTTCCGAAATTCGTTATTGAAGCTGTTATGTTGTACTGGTATTAATACTGAATGTATTTTATCATAATAAACATACATGACTGGGTCCCGATCCACAAAACGTTCGTAGCGCTACGACATTCGTAACGATAAACTATAGAGTTACGACATCTCGTAACGATAAACTATAGAGTTACGACATCTCGTAACGATAAACTATAGTGTTACGACATCTCGTAACGATAAGCTATAGAGTTACGACATCTCGTAACGATAAACTATAGAGTTACGACATCTCGTAACGATAAACTATAGTTACGACATCTCGTAACATTACGACATCTCGTAACATTACAAACACTTTGTGGATCGGACCACGGTCTAATTTGGATATCGACATGAGTGCTACCGAGCCGATGAAAACATGTGATTTCTTGCCATGGTTTGACGCATTAAACTAAATGTACACACGCACATGTCCACAGTATACACTATTGACCAGACGGGCGGTTTACATACACATTTCTTTGCCTTTCACTTTAAGTATTTCAATAATATGTTGAGGACCAGCATCCGAGTAACAGATTGTATATATTGTGCATAGAGCTCAGGTCACAATTCAGTTCAAGTTAAGAACACTGAGCGCGGAGAGTCCTTGGATGGGTGACCGTGTTTAGCAGCTTGACTCCTGAGAGTTTCTAGGACGTCTGTCCTGCCCACGAAGCACATGGGATAGATGTGGTCTCACCTTAGGCAAAAGAGTTTGTTCCAAATTGCCTCTGTACATCTTGCAAAAAATGGGTACCCGGTGAGATAAGTCATGTGACTATTAACTTTCCAGTGCCTCACAGGCAGCTTGGGTTATCCGGGGTAATAATAATCAGACTGTGTGTTAGAGCTTTGAGCATGTACCTTGTACATGGAAAAGGGGCATTATAAATTCACGTTTATTTAGTATTAGACACCTGTCTTTGATAATGTTTTGATGATGACAGGCCAGGTGGGACAACTTAGGAATGACCAGCGAGTCCTAACTTGACACACAGAAGGAAGCAGGCTACAAAGACATATTTTATATCACTGGAAAGATCTCGAGGAGATGAACCCAAAACGTCCATGTGCCAGTGTGTTCACGTGTTCATAAGCTCACAAATTGGCTCTGAAGATGCATTTCTGGCGGAATTATCATTCAGGTATCATTTTTTTATATCACCTGCATCATAACAATGATTACCTCACCGGATGTCAGTTTCACAGTAAACACAAATGAAGAGAGGGGTATTTTACATTTACTTTCTTTTGCCTTTCAGATTAAGCATTTTTTATATGTTGACAAGAGACATACCTTTGTGACATCCTTGAGACAGCGGTGCAGGTATATTCACATATACACCCAGACGTTCTCAACATGAGCAACATCCATCGCGAGTAAGGAGAAAGAATTGGGACTATTTCACTGAGAACCAGTATCCCTAGGGCTCTGTTCGTCTGCCTCGGATGCAACCGACAAGTACACGTTTAATGTCTCAGAATTCGAACGCATCGGTAAAGTGAGATCCTGTCGTCTGCTTCCGAAGTCAAACTGTATAATAACACGTGTCTCTGGAACTTTCGTGTCAGCTTCTAAGTCATGCCGTCTGCTTCTAAATCATGTCGTCTGCTTCTGAATCGTGTCGTCTGCTTCCCACAACAGCAAGTGCAGATCTCCTTGATCTGTCTCCGTTGATTTCACTATGAACGTTTATCCCGAGATATCTCCGGAAGATCTCTAATTTCTAATCATGAAACAATCTTCGCCCACTCAAACACGTCGCACTTATACACCATTCAAGATATCCAGGTAAATACTCTCCACACGGGATTTCAGCAATTCCTGACACTCTCCAAACAAAAGTCGTCCACCACTTGTCCTGAAATGACTGCGACTCAATCTCCCTCTCAAATCCTCCCAGCATTCCATGGACCCTAAGTCAGTGAGCCCAACATGGGTTAATCCCGTCTGTACGTTTATCAGGCGATCTGTGATATTTGACTACTCGGGGTCTGAATAAGAACGTTAAACTTTGTCGCTGAACACTATTAAGCTTTAAATGTCGACCGCGCTGTTCTGGCTAAGTCTGAGTGAGTAAACCTTCCCTAAATGACAAATAAATCCACAATATAAACTCGACCTCCCCGAATTTGCACCTTAGTAACCGTACACTGTCGGTGTTGATCTTAACTCGCGGCAATCGATTTATCCATCGGCTCAGCCCCTCCATTAAGATGCCAGTAACGTTGAATCCTGAGGTGCGTTTGTCCGCTGTTGTCGTTGTGAGACGCCCGAGTGAACTAATGTAAATAACAATAATAGAAAGGGCGTGGGTATGATTGGAAACTCAATTCGGAACAGGTAGCGTTGATTGGACTTAAGTTCGGATCTACGGTACAGTTCAAGTAAACAGGAGCGTTGATTATATTGTCGTAAATCCATAAACCACGTGGTCTCACCGTTGCGGTGTTTTAGTATGCCATAGCGCTGGTATATTCTTATTTCAGTTACGTAATGCTACATGTGCACATGACAAAGTTGTCTTGAGAACTAGGGATCGCATAACCGGATCGTCTGTGTCCTAGTCTCTGTGAATGTTTAAAAATGTCCGTGTTCAACGCAATTGTGAGTGGGTGGGTGAGTGAGTGAGTGAGTGAGTGAGTGGGTGGGTGAGTGAGTGAGTGAGTGAGTGAGTGAGTGAGTGAGTGAGTGAGTGAGTGAGTGAGTGAGTGAGTGAGTGAGTGAGTGAGTGAGTGAGTGAGTGACAAACCTAGAACCGGCGTTCGAACCAACTATCATCCAATGTTTCAGGCGTGCTCAAGGTAGGCATACCTGCACAGCGAGTTGTGACAAAGGTGAAAGTCTTAACTATTGAATGTTACGGTATTATAGCCAAAACCACATACCTCCATGAGGTCATACAATGGACAGACACCTGCCAGGGATCGATAACGATAAATCAACATAATAGAATACAAGTCAGCCTGAAAGTGTCAATATATACTTCACAGTACAAATATACATCACCCCATATCTTCCCCGTGTTTTATTGTGATCATCTTTCAATCTAGTTGTGTACTGGACTGACTGAGTTTAGTTTTACGCCGCTTTTAGCAATATTCCAGCAATATCACGGCTGGGGACACCAGAAATGGGCTTCACACATTGTGCCTATGTGGGGAATCGAACCCGGGTCTTCGGCGTGACGAGCCAACGCTTTAACCACTAGGCTACCCCGCATCCCCTTGTGTACTGTAGCAGCCAGTGACTGCAACAGCTCTGTAACGTTGTCCCCCAAACCGACCTCCATGTCTGCACTAGTTTGTTCCCAGCTAGTTCAAAAATGGTTCACTGGATCTCAGAATCAGTCGTGTGAAACCCTTAATCCCCTTGAATTTCAGTTTTCAGCTAGCTGGGAACACCCCGCCTGCACTGACGTTGCAACCGTGCAGGGAAACAATGTCGACATTACGCATCGCTGCTGATATTACGGATCAGTTTGTGTAAATTATTAATGAGCGTCGTCTCAACCGTCGGTGCAGTAATACCACGGTATTACGAGTGTAGTGAGTGAGTGAGTTTAGTTTTCACGGCGGGTGACATCAGAAAAGGGCTTCGCACATTGTACCCATGTGGGGAATCAAACCCGTGACTGCGGCATGTCGAGCGAACGCTTTAACCACTAGGCAACCCCCACCAGCCCCATCTCAGTTATGTAAACAGCTCCGTAAAGGAAAGTATACACTTGGATTTTTACCAAACAATTGCAAACGTTAACAAAACGTTCCTGGGCTCGGAACAGTCACCGAAACACTGAAAAGTTAAGTAGTCAAGTCACTCACTCATTCCAAAAATCCGTTTATCAACTCACTCAGTCACTCATTCCAAACGTCACTCACTCTATCACTTTCATGGGGTCGCTCATTCATTTCCAAAGCCCCATTTATTACGTCACTGGATTCAAAACAGGGCCCCGTTCCTCAGAGCAATCGTAGCGCTACGACAGTCGTAACTCCCATACTTTAACATAGACTTACGACTGTCGTAACTCCCATACTTTAACATAGACTTACGACTGTCGTAACTCCCATAATTTAACATAGACTTACGACAGTCGTAACTCCCACACTTTAACATAGACTTACGACTGTCGTAACTCCCATACTTTAACATAGACTTACGACAGTCGTAACTCCCACACTTTAACATAGACTTACGACAGTCGTAACTCCCACACTTTAACATAGACTTACGACAGTCGTAACTCCCATACTTTAACATAGTCTTACGACTGTCGTAGCGCTACCATCGCTTTGAGGAACGGGGCCCAGGTCTATCAAGTAACTGATTCTCTCACTCATTTCCACTTTCACGAAGCCTCCTAGAAGTTCGTCTTCAAGCAGATCATTTCACTGTAACCAGTACCCAACTGTGAGTCTGATTGCTGCTATGAAGACGCAGCTTGGTTCTATGCAGTGTCTATTGCAGTGGGGATCTGATAGCATGTGTTACTCCTTATCTGGACATGTTTATGGGGACCCATATCGACTTGAATTTATGGGCCTTGTCAATCTATCAACACAACGATAACGTCTTCGCCCCCTATGGCGACGGGGTATGGTGGCCCCCGATCTCAGTTGTACCTATTATCATGAAAATCAAATCTTTTACTTCGATACTTCGATTAAATGAATTTTGGTGACGAGCTCAGTCGATCTGCTAAACTCTCAGATCAATTGAGGTCAAGTCAGATAAAATGTCTTATCGGTCAGGTAGGGTGGATGTTTCTTTTATGCTCTGTTCGAGCCAGCGAAGTGTTATGGCAAAGCTGATATGATGGTTGCTCTAAAATGAATGTAAATGGGCAGTTCCGAATGGCGAATACTGTCCTCGTTACAGTGTGGATATTTTACACCGTGTGGTTTCAGAGCGCCATGCTATCTGCATCTTAAAGATAACACAGGGACTGTGTAGTGGACGCTTTGTTAATTTGAAATTGATATCCGATTAACTGTAAAATATACGCATCTTTCATTTTTGAAGTGAGTGAGTGAGCTTAGTTTTAAGCCGATTTAGCAATATTCCAGAAATATCACGGGGGACACCAGAAATGGGCTTCATACATTGTACTAATGAAGGGAATCGAACCCGGGTCTTCGGCGTGACGAGCCTACGCTTTAATCACTATTATACACCACCGCCCATCATTTTGAAGTTGGAAGGTATATCAGATTATGACGTAGATCATAATGGTACCGAGATGTGCTTTGAATAAGATTGTATCCTTGGCTAAAGAAGTGACTTAAATTGAATCGAACGGCTCAAACAGCTGCTATGTTTGAATAGTGTGTGCCTGGAGGCTTTATTTTGACTTGGTACCCGTGAAGGTCCGGGTTAAAATATTGATCTTCAGTAACCCATGCTTGTCGTAAGAGGCGACTAACGGGATCGGGTGTTCAGGCTCGCTGACTGGGTTGACACATGTCATCGGTTCCCAATGGCGCAGATCGATGCTCATGCTGTTCATCACTGGATTGTCTTGTCAAGACTCAATTCTTTACAGACTGCCCCCATATAGCTGCAATATTGCTGAGTGCAAACTAAACTCACTCACTCACTCAATTGCGCATATCGATGCTCATGCTGTTGATCACTGGATTGTCTGGTCCACAGATCGCCGCCATATTGCTGGAATATTGCTGAGTGCGGCGTAAAACAAATCTCACTCACTCATTTTGACTTGGAAATTCGTGAACACATTGCCTTTCCGACATTTACATCCCAGAACGTCTGTACCTTTTCGGAGGGACAGTTTCACTTGGAATGGTTCAGACCGACAGGATTTTGGTTTGGTGGTAAGTTTATATATTTGCTGTTGCTGGCTGAAATACCATCAACTCATTTATCCATTCACCCAACAACTCCAGTGCTCACTCAACCTCTCAGTCTGACAACAGGTATATCAGTTACCATACCTTCCAATGACAACAGGCACTTCAGTTACCATACCTTCCAATAACAACAGGCACATCAGTTACCCTACCTTCCAATAACAACAGGCACATCAGTTACCCTACCTTCCAATGACAACAGGCACATCAGTTACCATACCTTCCAATAACAACAGGCTCATCAGTTACCCTACCTTCCAATGACAACAGGCACATCAGTTACCCTACCTTCCAATAACAACAGGCACATCAGTTACCCTACCTTCCAATAACAACAGGCACATCAGTTACCCTACCTTCCAATGACAACAGGTGCCCCAGTTACCCTACCTTCCAATGACAACAGGCACATCAGTTACCCTACCTTCCAATAACAACAGGCACATCAGTTACCCTACCTTCCAATAACAACAGGCACATCAGTTACCCTACCTTCGAATGACAACAGGCACATCAGTTACCCTACCTTCCAATAACAACAGGCACATCAGTTACCCTACCTTCCAATGACAACAGGCTCATCAGTTACCCTACCTTCCAATGACAACAGGCACATCAGTTACCATACCTTCCAATGACAACAAGCACATCAGTTACCCTACCTTCCAATAACAACAGGCACATCAGATACCCTACCTTCCAATAACAACAGGCACATCAGTTACCCTACCTTCCAATAACAACAGGTGCCCCAGTTACCCTACCTTTTCCAATGACAACAGACACATCAGTTACCCTACCTTCCAATGACAACAGACACATCAGTTACCCTACCTTCTAATGACAACATTGCATCAGTTACCCTACCTTCTAATGACAACATTGCATCAGTTACCCTACCTTCCAATGACAACAGGCTCATCAGTTACCCTACCTTCCAATGACAACAGACTCATCAGTTACCCTACCTTCCAATGACAACAAGCACATCAGTTACCCTACCTTCCAATGACAACAGGCACATCAGTTACCTTACCTTCCAATAACAACAGGCACATCAGTTACCCTACCTTCCAATGACAACAGGCTCATCAGTTACCCTACCTTCCAATAACAACAGGCTCATCAGTTACCCTACCTTCCAATGACAACAGGCACATCAGTTACCCTACCTTCCAATGACAACAGGCACATCAGTTACCCTACCTTCCAATGACAGGTCCGGGTTAGAATATTGGTCTTCAGTAACCCATGCTTGTCGTAAGAGGCGACTAACGGGATCGGGTGGTCAGGCTCGCTGACTGGGTTGACACATGTCATCGGTTCCAAATTGCGCAGATCGATGCCCATGCTGTTGATCACCGGAATTGTCTGGTCCAGACTCGATTATTCACAGACTGCCGCCATATAGCTGGAATATTGCGTGCGACGTAAAACTAAACTCCCTAACTCACTCCCGGCTAGAATTGGTCTCCAGTAACCCATTTTTGTCGAAAGAGGCGACTAA